TGTATATGAGTGATGAATGCCATGTTAAAATTAAGTTTTGTTGAAATAAGGTTTTGATATTACCATATGTGTTTTTTGGGTATTTTTTTGGAACTAGTCTTTCACTTCATACTATAAAGGATATTTTTTTTAAGGAGGTGTAAATTATGATCATATCTGTATATTTAAGATCATCTTTCAAGTGCTTTTTGTTCTTGTCACCTATATATTTCATTAAGTCATATTGACTGTTTATTAATGTGAGATTGTACAAGAGTGGATGCAGATTGATACACACTTATTTATGTGTATTATATATTTGAAGCAATTACAGTTTTGTAACTTAACATTACAGTCATTTCATGATGGCCATATATAGACTGTTGCTGCTGCTTTCCGTTTTTTCTTGTATGTTATTAATACATGTGTATTTAATTATGTGATTTTGATTTTGTGTGAGATAGTTTTTTTAACTGCATATTTTATCGGAAAACTGTTTTTGATTAACCTAGTAGACACATTTGCTGACAAATTTTTGTCAACTTTTGAAGCAAATACCAGTAAAGTCACTAGATATTTCCTAGCTGGCTTTTGATAGCTGCAATTTATGTATGTTTTATTGCATAAGTAATTTTAAGATGTGTTCCTGAATTATTCGATTATATTATATTAATTGTTTTAACATCAGCATTAATCTAAGTAGTATGAAAGAGTTTTTCTTTTAAGTATGAATGACAGTAAATTTAAGGTACTATAAATACAACCTGAATATTGATGTAAAATGTACATAATGAAATGTTGTGGAACTCTGTGAACAAACAAGATATTTTTAAAGTTGTAGTACACGATACATCTACATTTAAACCAGTAAGAGTAGTTAGAAGGCTATGAAATCCAGAATGTTACAAGGTAATATATATTCATTTGTCAATAACCAAACATGGTTGAATTAATTTGACACCATCTAATTTAGATTAGAATACTAATCCAGTGTAATTAGACAGACACTTAGTCACTCATAAAAATATTAATGCTTTGAGAAATTGACTTGCATGTGCTTTAAATTTTTACAATTATTAAATGCATGTTTTCCAGAACTTTCATCAAAATGGACTTTATACATGATTTTAAAAATGTTGGGGGGAAGTACTTGTTGTAACAGAATTTTCATTGACAGTGGGTTCAAACAAATGAAACTGTGAATTAATCAAATTAAAAGCAGATATATTTTATTATTTCTTTGTTTTCTTTTTCAATGCACATCAGAATCATGAGGGATTGTTTTTTTAAAACCATCAAGTTGTAATGCTGATTAAGACTTTTAAAATTTTTAGAGCTAGTCTTTACCTTTTAGTGACAGCAAGAAAGATAAAGAGAGAACCATAAAACCAATTTACCCATTCTTCAACTTGCCAAAGAGATAAATTAATTATCACCCCAAACATTTTTTTCTCAGAAGGTTATACACTTTAATAAATCCCGGAAACAAAAAGTACAACTTTGAAGACAATGAATAAATGAGTTTATTTAAGTTTGATTCAAAATGGAGATGAGTATTTGGGAAAAAAATTGATTTTAGATTTAGATTGAGATGATGAAAGATTGATGGTGATGAGTTGAGGATAATATTGCTGATTAGTTGAAGATGGCAATTGTTGATCTGTGAAAATCATGATCTCATTGTCCCTGACAGTTCTACATGTCCGCGAACTAGTTCAAATCCTGGAACTTTATCATGAACAAGTCCTCTGGGTCATGCTGACCTAGCAGCTTTCTCAGCTTTGTGGTCATCCTCTCAACAAACTTTGACTTTCTAAATCGAAATGGGGAGCTTATCGTCTGTGGCTGGGGGTCCTTGCTCAGGGCCAAGAAAGATCTGGTTTTACTGAGGTGGCGCTGAAATCTTTTGATCTGCATTGATAAGAATTTAAAGATTTAAAGCACTTCAATTTGCTTTATATTCCATATAAAAAGAATCTTCTATACACATAATTAAGAATAAGCAATCAAATCTTTATATCCATATTGACATATTTTATTTGCTTCAGTATACATGTATACATTTAATAATTCTACATATTCAGTCAGGGAGATCCGACTCCCCCCCCCCTTCCCCATACCCCCGAACTGCGCATAGTTTACTTTTTCCCTAAGCGGGGGACACAAATTCTCTGAATTAGCTTGTTTAAATTATATTGTTCTTACAGATTCAACAATAATATCTTACTGTGAATACTTACATTAAAAATAGTTTCCTATTGTCTTCTAATATTTCAATTAACATTTCCTATAGTATAAGTAAGGTTGGGAAAAAAGTGGGGGGGGGGGGGGGGGGGCTGGCCCCTCCTGTTGCTACGCCCCTGTTGAAGCGTCTGCTCTAGAGTACCGAAGTAAGGAGTCAATCCTTACGTCGCGGGTTCGAATCCCACTGTGGGACGTGGAGACCGGTCCTTCAGATAAGACCGTATAAACCGAGGTCCCGTGTCGCAGTAGGTGCTGGCACGAAAAAGATCCATCACTGTTCAATGGCCCTGAGTGTCGAGTTCAGAATTTGTAGCTCTCCATCGGCAAGTGGTGGCGTCTTCATGTGAGTGAAAAATTCTCGAGAGGGACGTTAAGCAACATAAAATCAATCAATCAATTTTAATATCAATTTTACATAGCCCTCTAATGACTCAAAATCATCAACGTTAGACTCATTGTAACCATAGCGCTACAGATCTGCAGCTACCTGCATGGGTAGTGTATAGATTCTAAATTGTTCAACTCATGACACCCGGGGGTAGGGCGGGGCCCCAGTAGGGAATCCAAATTTTATTTACATTGAAATATATAGAAAGTAACTTAAAATTCATCTTCTCAAGAACCACTGTCCCAGAAAAATTGAAACTTATGTGGAAGCATCCTGGGGTAGTGTAGATTCTAAATTGTCCAAATCATAACCCCTTGGGGTAGGGTGGGTTCACAGTAGGTATAACAAGGGGGAAATCTGGTCAGGAACAATATGGCCCAAGTTACTCAAGTGAGCGGTGTGGCTCATTAGCCTCTTGTTTTAAGAAATAAATTAGGTGATTTTGTTTTTGATGCTATACGTCATTACGGGCAATTTAAATGTTTGTAAACCTACTTAAGAAGCCATTTCAGTTGAGGGTTTGAGTGGGTTGGGGTTGGGGGGCATAAGTGTATGGTAGCTTTGTTTGTACAGTTTTCTATATATCGACATAATTATATGGGGCACGCACTCATCCCCCATCCTTACGACTATGTTCATTGATATAATCATAATTTTCCCAAAAAAAAATAATAAACAAAATAAAAAATAATTAGTATGAATTTAAATATCAAAATAATTTTAGCATAGCTTGCGGGACAACATTAGTCAGAAAAGGCGTTTCAACAAGTTTGTGACTTGGACTCAGCCCAGATCAAATAAGGTATTTTCACCAAAAAGCAGACAGGGGAAGAATCTGTTACAAACTATCACATACCAAACTTGATGAACAATATATAGACCTTTAATCACACCATAGACACTATAATTTTATACTGAATTTTTAAAAATGCCACCATATTGTAATTATCTGGAATCAAAAGAAGAACAGATAGAATATGAGAGATGCAATGACAGACCCAAAATAGCATTCCCGCTTCGAGTAATCTCACATTTAGGCCGAGGCAAATATAAAGGCCCGCGCATTTCTAATATACATGCATGTATGTATGCTTGAATTTCGAAAATTGGGTGAGAAAAGGAGAAATATTTGTACCGAACCATTTTGAAGTTATGAGCAAAGTTTCATTCATTTGCCTTTTTAAAAATATATTTTCTTTATTTTAAAAAAGGGGGGTCTGAGATTTCCGGAAATATAATTCTGATCGAACGAACCTTTCTTCTAGTATTAGTATTTCCGGTTCAGATCAAAATGGAAGGAAATCGAGATGAAAGTGAGCGGTGTTTTCATCTCGCAAACAAGTATTTATCGGTTGGAGATCTTGAAAAGGCAAAGAAATTTCTTCACAAAGCAGAGAGGTTATTTCCAACACAAAAGGCAAAAGGTATGATTGATTCCATACCTCTACACTTAATGTAAATATGAGCTGCGGGATACGTCATCATAAAGTCGTATTATTGAGTGACGGAAGATCCAAGGTTGGAACCAAAATATTGTCACACTGTGTTTCTGTTATGAATTATGTTTGTTGGGCCTCATGGTAGTCCAACTGTAACCCCTTTTTTGCCATCAATGGCAACAAAACAGTATAGCACTACATTTACAAAGAGCATAAAATATACATGGGCATTCTTTTATAATAAGTTGATTTTAAAAGTAGTCTGAAAACCTGAACATTTAATGAAGCTTCATTAAACTTTAATCTTCTAAAGGAATTTTACCAAGTTAATACGCTTCCTTGCAATAGATTAAAATGATCTGTGTCTTTGGACAAGCCCTTACCTCAGTTAGAATACATACCATATACTTGCAGAGTAGCAATGTAACTATACCGTTACCTTCACTTAATTTATATGTGTGATAAATAGAATTGGGAAAAACACTTAAATTTTGGTATCTCGAACAATGATATCCTGAATACCATAAATATATCATAGTTATTTGAAAGTCCCAGCAGCTTATATTTCTTAAATATTGTACCCTAGATATCTTGAATCCTTTGATACCTTTATTTTCCTGGTCCAATCAAGTTTGAGATAACTAGGTTAAATGGTTCGTCATATAGATAAAGTACTACCAGTACCTTAATTGAGAAGTATTCAACATTTACATGTGTATTTGATTATTTCAGATTTGTTAGAGAGGATCGAGTCAATGTCTGAGGATGAATCTACACAAGATAACAAAGAAAACAAAGAACCTCAGAAAGATGGAGTACGGCACAGGCGGGGCAGCTTTGGGAGGGACAAGACAGAAGGAGCTGTTGCAAAAGACTACACTGAGGAACAACTGATTTTGGTTCGCAAGTATGTGAAAAGCAGGTTTTCATTCAGCTTGACTGAGTCTCTTCTGCTTTATTAATCCATTTTCATTTTTGAGAATTGACATATATACTGATAGATAACATTCTGAGTGTGTAAAGTGAAAAAATACAAATTTTAATGCATTACTTACCAGAATCATAATTATTTTAGGATTAAGAAATGTAAGGATTATTATGAAATTCTTGGAGTAGAGAAAACTGCAACAGAAATAGAGCTGAAAAAGTCCTACAGAAGATTAGCACTACAAATGCACCCAGACAAGAATAAGGCCCCAGGAGCAACAGAAGCTTTTAAAGGTAAATTATCTGCACTGTATCTATCTATTAACATATTTTTATATAAAATTCCTTTCTGAATGGTTACTAGGTTAAATTTTTTTTTACCATATCTTTTATTCTTCAATTAATTTCTTTTGTTTTCTCTTTAATAACTTATAACAGTGCCTGTTGAAATTTCTATATATTTATATTTATACTTGATAGCCATTGGGAATGCCTTTGCTGTTCTGAGTGATGAAAGTAAGCGCAGGCGATATGATGCATACGGTCCCGAAATGGAGGAGACCAATCACAGACGACATACCTACAGAAATGAGTTTGAAGGTAAATGCGTGATATGGGAAGGTATTCATCCTTGTTGTAATAGGAATACATGTATTGTATGAGGAGGTATATAATGTTCAAGTGAGCTTTTCTGATCAAAATATGTCCATTGTCTGTCGTCGGTGTTGGCATAAACTTTTCACATTTTCATCTTCTTCTCAAGAACCACTGGGCCAATTTCAACCAAACTTGCCACAAAGTATCCTTAGGTGAAGGGGATTCAAATTTATTCAAATGAAGGGCCACAGCCTCTTCCAAGGGGAGATAATTATGAAATAGTGAAAAATTAATGGCATTTAAAAATATCTTCTCAAGAACCACTGGGCCAGGAAAGATGAAACTCATATGGAAGCATTTTCAGGTAGTGTAGATTCAAGTTTGTTCAAATCATGACTCCCGGGGATAGGGTGGGGCCACAATGGCCAATCAAAGTTTTACATAGGAATATATAGGAAATATCTTTTAAAGTCTTCTTCTCAAAAACCACTGGGCCAGGAAAGATGAAACTCATGTGGAAGCATCCTCAGGTAGTGTAGATTCAAGTTTGTTCAAATCATGACCCCCGGGGGTAGGGTGGGGCCACAATGGCCAATCAAAATTTTACATTGGAGTATATATGAAAAATCTTTAAAAATCTTCTTCGTAAGAACCACTGGGTCAGGAAAGATGAAACTCATGTGGAATCATCCTCAGGTAGTGTAGATTCAAGTTTGTTCAAATCATGACCTCGGGGCTAGGGCGGGGCCACAATAGCCGGTCAAAGTTTTACATAGGAATATATAGGAAACATCTTTTAAAATCTTCTTCTCAAGTACAGCAAAACTCATTTAGTACGAACAAGGATATTGCGAATTTACGGATATAGCGAAGTTTTCTCTTATCCCGAACTATATAAATTTTACGAATTTCCTATACGGATATAATGAATTACGGATATAGGGAAGTAATTTCACAGGTCCCAGTGACTTCGTTATTACCGAGTTTAACTGTATTTCAAAGCCATGATTAGTGATATTTATATGGAATCATCCTCAGGTAGTGTAGATTCTAGTTTGTTCAAATCATAACCCCCAGGGATAGGGTGTTTTACATTAAAATATATTTTAAAAAGTCTTCTTCTCAACAATAGCAATGCCATGAATAGTGATACTAGTATTTATATGGAAGCATTAAATTTGTTCAAATCATAACCCCCAAGGGTAGGGTGGGGCCACAAGGGTGGACCAAAGATTTACATAGTAAACTATAGGGGAAAATCCCAAGAACATTAACAGAAAAACTATGTGTAGTCATATTGACGTGTAAGCATCTTCATGTATTGAAGATTGTTCCAAATCATGGCCCATTGGGGTAGGGAGGGAAACAATTGGGAAACAAATTTAAATTATTATGAAGTAATATATAGGAAGAAATGTTTAAAAAAATCTTCAAAGTCATATATTAATATGATGGCATTCTCAAGTAGTATTAAAATTCAAGCCCCCCCCCCCCCCCCCCCTTCAGTAAACTTTTTATTTCTGATCTAATCCGATTTGCTCAGGTGAGCAATGTGGCCCCTGGGCCTCTTGTTAAACTTTCTTATACTGAGTTTGAAAAATTTATTTAATAATTATATTGAATTGTGTGACAGCAGTTTTCATAAAAATATGTCCTGAAATCACTTTATGCATTCATCTGAAAGATTTATTACAGAATAAGATACTTTTTCAATATGACCTAAAATTACATACATTTAATACATAATAATTTTACCTACAGGTGACATCTCCCCAGAGGAACTCTTCAACATGTTCTTTGGAGGAGGATTCCCCTCTAGTAAGTGTAGATAAATAACTTGTACATGTATTATTCTCTTAATAATAATCTTTTGGAGCATGTACAGTAAAGTATTTCAATACTGTTTATGATTCTTCAGAATGCAAAAAACAAATCATGGATTCTTTTCAAGTAGACATATCCAGGAAGATCAATTCAAGCATTTGATATTAAGTGGACAATTAATAATGGATGTTTTAAGACATTACAAATGGGCATATCATAATCTTTTTGTAATAAGTGAAAGAAAATGAGGATTAAATACACATAATTTAGAATGTGAATGGTTTTAAATTTGAGGGTTTTCTTTTTACAGATAACGTTTACACACACCACACACACAGAACACGACAACATCGTCATCACCACAGTCGCGAGCATGTGTCTAATGATGTAAGAATGGAAAATGTTTCTTGTCAATTTTTTTCTAAACTTTTTAGTCAGTCTTTTTAATGACAAATATCGGTGAATGCTATTAGCAATATCATATGTAAAGTTTTGTTAAGACATTTTTCTTGATTCTTTTTCAGTCTGGCTTCACATTGTTGCTGCAGCTGTCCCCCATTCTACTTCTAGTCTTTCTTTCTCTGTTGTCCAGTTGGTTTGTTAGTGACCCAGTATACAGCCTTCATCGATCAGGGTAGGTATAGTAAGTCTAAAGGGGTGATCCGATATTGAAACACATCTTTTTTCTTTGTCTTTTCAGAAATCAATTTTAAATCTAAATCTCGTGTAAAATTTTAAGGGTTGGGATTCTCAAAATGATTTAGTATGCCAAGCTTAATTTGGACTTAAATACACGAGGTTAAAGGAAAAAATAATTTGTGTGGCTGTGCAAAAATATAAATTTTCTCCCTCAGAGAAATTTAGGGAGAATGTGTGAGCGCACATTAATCATTAATAAACGTCTTAAAAATAAAATTATTTCATTGTTTATATTTTATTAATAAATACATTTCAATAATTTTCCGTATTAACATCATACTAAAAATAATTAAAAAGAGAAAAAATTCTTAAAAATTAGTTTTTATATTTTTCCAATTACAAAGTATAAAATTATCTGACCCCAAAAATTAAACAATATCATTGTATAAATTTCTTATTGATAAGCTTTTTTATCAATTTTTTTTTTCATTTCTTGCATAGTATGCACAATTAACTTTAATATTCTTCTCTCTTGTTATTTTATATTTTCAGGCTCTTTGCATAGTCATAATTTTTTTTAATTTTCACTTCAAAATTGAATTCATTTTCAATCTTCAATTCTTTTTCTAAAAAAGTTTTGATGTACTACTGCATTACTGCACGCCGATTGAACTACTTGACTGTGTGATAGATTAGACGTGTAATTTCTTAGATATATAACTCTACAATATAACAGTAAAAATATGTCTGCATACACAGCATGAAGAATTATTTGACAATAAAAAGATCTAAAATCATCTCCAACATCTTTGGCATGACATCGATAGCTGTCCAGCTGTTTTACGTCTTGTTGTTTACAACCTGTAACAATGGACTTTTACATACATGGAAGCGTAAAATCTAGAGGAGTTCCGACAGAGTATTCGATGACTTGGTCATTTGTAGCTAAACAGGTGCAAGCGTCCTGCTGTTTCGTTTATTTCAGCAGTAATAAAACAAGATTTATAAACTACTGACGATTCTACAATGTTTCTTATTAGATTTTTTATGATTTTCAATAAAAGGTTTGCAAATGTTAACTTATAAGGCGACTGAAAACTTCGCTTTCATGATAAATTACGGCGAAGTTTGGAGCCCAAAAGCGACTATTTCGCCTCAGACGCCCCCTAGGTTGGTCCTTGGATGCTATATTTTATTACTGTAATTATGCAATGAAAGAATTGTAATTTTGTTGAATATTTCTCTTTTTGTACAGGAAATATGATACAGAGAAAACAACGTCAAATTTAGGTGTGAAATATTATGTGAAGAATGACTTTAAGGTGGACTTTAAAGGTGATTTACGGAGGATAGAGAGAAATGTAGAGGAAGAATATATATCTAATCTAAGGCAGAATTGCTGGAGAGAAAGAACATATAGTAAGTACACATAACACCAAACATTTGTCTCTGTTCTTTGGACTTTCACATAAATACAGTAAACCAACTATTATTCACATCATCTTTTATTTGCGATTCATCAATCCGTGGCGATTAATTTTTTGTGACTTAGGAACAATCTCTACAAATACTATTAAAGCAAAATGATTGGTTCATGGTGATTAATATTCAAGAGTTAAAGTAGATCTTGGACTCGCTATTATTTCTTGCAGACAAATAAAAGTTGGTTTACAGTATTCCTTTAGGTTTGCTTTCATTCAAAGCTTTGTTTGTACTTGGAAACTTTCTTACTTTTTCTCATGGTCAAAATTTCAATGAAATTCAGTCATCTGTACTATTAATATGGCTACTTTTCAAATGCAAAATTTTACCTTCTATTGTAGAAGAAAACTTATTATGGAGAGCTAGAAATCATGCTGATGCAAGATTATATGAAAAAGCCCAGAACCACCCTACACCCTCTTGTGATAGACTTCAGTCTATATATGCATAGGTAAACCCCAAACTCTCCAATGTACAGAGTATAATTGTGATCTTTGGGAAGTTTTACTTTATGTGAAATTTGAGTCTCTCTTAGCCAGGATGGGAGACATTCTTTTAACGAGTGTTGATTAATTTCCAGTGCACACCAAAAAATTCCCTTTTTATCCAGGAAGTGCATGATTCATTTGTGGAATTCTTATCAATGGACTCGAATGCTGTGCATTCTCGTTAAACTAACATGGAAAGTGTGATGTATTGTCATTGAAGTACATGTTTTAAATTGCAAGTTAAATATGTGTATTTAATCATTTGTAAGAAAGTGCTGACTGAATATTATGCTTTATGGAAACAATTTTGTAAAGGTTTTAATTTGTGTGTTCTGGTTAATTATATAAGAGTATATCATAGGTCAATAATCCAAATCAAATTTTTCTTTAAGCTTTTTTTTACTTTAAACAGAGAATTATACTTATAGGATAACTATTTGAAAACATCAGATTTGGGCTCCAAAGTATTTGCATTTTTAATGAGAACTGCTTTTGCATTTTAGTGAATTCTTTAGAATCAACTTTTCCTATCCAAATGGTCTTGGAGAAAAAAAAGTGTAATTTGCAATGCATTCAGATACATGTATTTGAACATGTTTTCAATTGGTTCAAAATTTATGTTATCTAAAAGAGCTTTCTGTTGTGACTCGTGAAGCACTGTGCAAATGAAATTTGAAATATTTATGGAAAAAAAATTGAGTGCCAAGACACAAATGAGAGTAGAGAATAAATGTGTAATAATGTAAATTGTACCGAGACTGACAAACAAGCATATATATACAGTCAAACCTTATTAATTGGGACATTTGTGTTCCTAGGCAAATTGTCCAAATTAATAAAGCATTCTACATGAATTCAAATGTTGAAGGTTCATTGCATATGTTCAATTAATTTTAATATATTGCAATTACAACTGAATTTTTTTGTAATAAAGTGTGTTGCTGTTAACAGAATATTTGTGATTGATTAAATCATGGATCTGTTGAAAATACATCGGATACATGAGTAGATGCTTTAAGTTGTATATTATATGTATGGTTCATAAATTTTTTTTAGAGAATTCCATATGAATGGCATTACACTCACGAGAATCCTGAGTTTTAATTTTCACTCTGTATACAGGTCTGATTTGGGTTTTAACTTTTCATTTTTGTCCCTGAATAGTTTTTAATCAGACCAAATTTAATATTTGTTGTTACTGTGATTTAGTTTTTAATGTTCAACCTTAATTTAATTGTCTGTTCTTCTTAAAAAGTTGTAGAGATAATACATGTATTTAATAACAATGAAGCAAAATGTACCAGTTGTTACAGTAATGAAAACTTTTGTACATAAAACTCGAAATTTTTATATTTGTTGTGTGTTTATTTACATGTATAATGCATATAAATAAATCAGATCTCTTTCACAAATTCCCTTTTCTGACAATCTTGCATGCGGTTTCTATATTTTATTTTTCAATGATTGTAATATACATTAACATACTAGTTAGTATGGAAGTAAAAAATATTTACAATTAAAAATAAATATACTTGGCATTTTTTATATGACAAATGATCTAAATGGAAATGACAAAGATCAACACAGTTTACTCGTTTGCTTCATGTTCTCAATATGTACACAATATAAATGTTGGAGGAAGAAGAAACATCACCAATCCTCATTTAATGAGTGACTAGACAAAATTTAATCATAATTGAAGAAAGACATGAGATAATGAAATAAGAGTGTACGATTAACATCTAAAATATGTACATGTAAAAATGTATGCCTTTTCCCCCTTTCATTAAAACCTGTGTTCATTCAAAATCATCTCCGATGTCTAAGTACACGTCATAGGCTTCTCTGTTGCAGTTTCCATCAGTTGTGAACACATACTTGTGAAAAGTCCCATCTACACATACAGCTACAACAGAATTTTAAACTGTTGAATTAAAAAAGTAAAACATTTGAAGAGTTAACATTTTTACATTTGAAAAGTAATGAAGTCACATTTTACTTCACTATATCCGTACATTATAACCGTGTGAAATTCATTAAATTTATATTACCGCTATATCAGAGTGTTAATTATTATTTTGTTATACATGTATATTTCATAATGTCAATTTCAATGGCTAAAGCCCCAGTCAGAAAACTGGAATACATCTTCGCTAGCCAAGGGTTTCTGAAACAATACTCTCCTCATGAAGGAGAGTATCATATCAGAAACCCTTGGCTAGCGAAGATGACTGGAAGATGACAATGAGATTTATAACAATAATATGTCCACTTATTAATGCCTCTTCAGTAAGCCGTCAATATAAAGACACATGCCAAAAATCAGAAAATTATTTGCAAGCATGCATAAAATGTCTGTAAAACAAATTGTGAGAACAACAGTGATGGAATAACAGAGTGAGGAACAGAAAGGGAGGGCAATAAAATGAACAAAACGAGTTGTTACCTATTACAGAATGCCCTGGGCCAAAGGCACAAATACATGCACACTCTGCAGCCACTGTAAAACTGGCCAGGCCCCACTGGGATTCCACATATGTTCCTAGAAATCCCATGGTTTTAAACCTGTCAAATAAAATGAATGACAAGTGTAAGGCATGGGGCTATCTGAGAGAGTTTTTTTTTTGTCAATGGCTTGTAACTATTGAATAGGCAACTGTGTCTTAATTGTAATTATCTTGAAAATTGCCGAGTGTGGTATTTTTTACAAATACTAACGTTGATCGCCTGTTCAGACTTGTATCTTTTACAGCAAAGATATGAATGGTCCCTTTATCACTGGAGGCACACAGAAAGGAAGAATCATGACTGAAGGAGATACTGTAAAAATAATGTAAGGTAAAGAAAACGTAGGTAAAATCTCTAGAAAAACTAGAAACTTTTTCAACAAATTAAAGGAAAAATCCTTCAGGCTTTAATTACATACACCGGTATTACCTATATGAATTTCATAAATAAATCAAGGTCAAGACATATCACATTCAGCTTATCAAATGAATTTCTGCAGTAGTTAGTAGTATTTTATGACCTAGTTTTGTAACCTAGTTATGCTTTCACTGACCAGTATAACGTGGCTGGGTCAGCCCCTCTCCTGAGTTCCACCACCAGCTTCTTTGTTGATGTGTCAAACACTCGGATCAGGGTTCCCTACAATCATACAATACATTTAATAAACACAGATTACAAATTACATTGGTTATTAAGCATGAATCTCTTTACATTTCTGTATCTATAAACTGAAATGTGGAATCATCTTAATTCATGATGGTCGATGTTCTTTGGCAACCAAACTTTTTGTGGTTCATGAGGACAGAATTTTTGTTAATTGTTCAAAAAATATAGATCTCAGATCTGTTACATTCTTCTTTATTTAGCACAGTAAGATCAAGTTGTTTCTGTTTTATTGTTTTTTTAACTGTTTTACTTTTTTGGAGGCAGTAGCCAGTAGTGTCCCCTGCTGATTCAGAGTGAGGCATGCTATCTCCCCCTGGTGGGCACTGACTGTAACAGGAGATGTGGATTGTCCGGGCTGTGTGGTCTCAAGGTCCTGTCAATCAGAGAGGCAACAATTAATTCTGAACAGAACTCTATCTAAAGATACACAGGAAGTGGGGTATTTAAGGAGCACTTGTAAGGACAGCGGCAGGGCCATAAGAAAAATCAGAAGATAGGGATTGCATGTAACTGGCTGAGAAACTTCTAATAGTTGATTTTACATTAATGGTATCACAATTATATGTGGGATTTGACTTTTGTAAATATAGTTACAACAATTTAAGGTTTCCTTTATGAAGAGATCTTACAGCAATCTGAACACTGCCACATTTTTGACCTGGGAAAGCCATCACTTGACCAAAAGGAGAGACATCACACAGGCCTGGATAAATCAGAGAAAAATGATTAGAATTGAAATTTGTTTTAATTTATTCACTGAAACAAAATGATATCATTACATAATTGCAATGACATTTTTATCCAAAACTTGAATAGGAATATATGTATCTTATATATGTATTATATATGCATGAGGGAAATTTACGCCATATCCGAATTCTAGAGACATTGCTATGATCAATTTTATGATCATACTTTTACATACACTCATAATATGTCAATATCACATATATACTAAATACCCAGCATAATATCTGTACAGTTTTAGATTTATTTTGACCATTACTTGTCTCACATATCTACTGTATTTTCTCCATAATACCTCAACTTAACTTAAAACATTTATATAATTTTTCCTTCAGTGAGTTTACTTTTAAGTGCTATTTTTCACTGTAAATTTCCCTTAATTTTCAAATTTTTACTTTGTACACGATATACATGTAGATTTAACCAGGTGCCACATCCTTATAAAAGTTGGGAATAAGAAGAGTTATCTACCTTTAGGGTTATCCCTTGTGTCAAATGAGTGCAACATGGTAGGGTTATTTGGAAAACTGAACACATAGATTTGATTTCTTAGAACAACAATCAATCTGTAAATAAAAAATAGAGAATCCATTAACATGTAATCACAATGAATGTTTTGATTATAAGATATGAAAAATAAATTCTTCAATACCATAACTCTGGAACATTTTTAATAATATGGCCAATTTTTTAAAAGCAAATTTACATTTGCAGATGCTCTGTATTCCATACAGATACAAAAAATATATGTCAACAAAAAATCAATGAGATAACAAAATCAATCTCCTGACCTGTCATACTTGAGTTTTATTGACACGACTGGTTGGTTGAAGGAAACATCCATGACAACCTTCTTTGCTGTATCATCCCAAATCAAAGCTGTTAAAAAAAAAATTGCAATCTAATTATTTACTGTCATCAAAACACTCACATAATACTAATATAGTCTCCAGTTAAAAGGAGATGCTGGATCAAAGTACTTAGAAGATGTTGTTTTTTCTGTTCTGAAACTGACACGAGAAAGAGAGATCTACGAAGAAAAGATAAGTGATAGAAACATTACCAGCTTTCTCGTCATATCTCGGCGAGGATCCACCTCCAACCATGGCTACAATGTTGGAGCGAAACAACATCTCTGCACAAGCAATGCTCCCCACCACATCTTGTCCTGTAAACACACCAATAAATTCTAAACAAAAACAATTTTCAACATTATGGGTGTTCTTATCTAGACTATCTTTTCTTTATACATGTTAATCACGTATTCTGTGGAATCATCTTAATTCATGGAGTCAATGTTTGTGGGCAAGTAAAATTTTGTTAAAAAGTTAAATAATTGTCAATATTTTCAAGACAGTCAAAATGTTTTACCTATTGTCTTTAGTCTAATCTATACTTCTAAGTTCTTGCAGTGTAATTACCTCAATATTCTCCACAATTCACTGCAAGATTGCAATCAAAATATCATCTCTACTGTATAAACATTACCTAGTGTAAGCTTTTGTGTTAGTGGTTCTACATTGTAAATCTTCAGTCCAGTTTCTGTTGCACATGTGAAACAACCTGTTGATGAAAAAATAATCAAATGAAAAAAAAAATTACCAAATCAAACTGGGAAGCCTGAGCTGGTGGTAATTCTTTCAAAAAATCAAGAATATGTATCATGAATCATTGAATCGTTATTCTTTAAAAAAAAAAAAAACACCCCAATATTTAGGAGGATTTTTAAATGAAGAATTACACTTTTTAGACTCTGCTATCTATATACATCTGACCTACAACTAACAAATACAATTAACAATTTCTCATACCATGTCATACAGAATGGTAAAGATCTATAAGAACTGAATTAAAGGGGATTTTTTAAAAGTAATGTTTAAAAGTAAAAAGTTATGTCATTATAGGTGGAAAAATCCATAGTAACAAGGTCTTGTGCATAAATCTCTTAACAATCCAAATGTGACATTCAGTTTGAACAGGTGCCTTGAGGTGGATCCAAGTTAACTGAATACTGGTAGGTTTCAAATAATTACATAGAATGTTAGAACTATCATTAAAAATGCAAAATAAACACGGGCGATAACTCTAACTCAGTGCATTTATTATGAACAATTAATCACGAGAGTTCTGAATTAAACATGGCGTGTAAATTTGAAGCGAGAAATAAACGTTGAAAAAATTAATCGAATTTTCGTATTTATGTGGATTATATTTTAGGTTTAAAGGTATGTACAGCCTCTAATAGGTTTGTTATAATTTATAATCCTTTTGTATTCTTCAGAATTGTTTAGGAGTGATTCTGCAATTTTTTTGCTACATTACGAGTATATGGGAGGCATTCTATTTGTGGTGAGGGCTTGTTTCGAGACACAATTAGATTATTCTAGGACCAACTAGAACTGTTCAAACCGGACAAAATATTCCCTGCTGGGTTTTTCAGAAGTGCTAAATCATGAATATTTTATGAATCTAAGAGAAGAGAGAAATGCTAAAACATTTTTAGTGCAAATGTAATATATTTTTTTTTAATGAAACGAAGGCGCAGCCTAATTAAAAAATAGACTAAATATACGGACCAGACACAAATCATGAACTTTTTCTGTCAGTGACCTTGAACTTGCATAAATGACCTTGGTTCAAAGTCATGACACAACCTCCGGTCATAAGCAATGTTTGTGTGAAGTAGTAGATTCAAGTTTTTCCATAATAAAGAAAGATATGGACCGGACACAAATTATGAAATTTTTCTTCCAGTGACCTTGAACTTCCCCAAATGACCTTGGGTCAAGGTCATGACACATCCTTAGGTCATGAGCAATCTTTGTGAAATGAGAACCTACCAAGTTTATCCATAAGAAAGATATGGACCGGACAAAAATTATGAAATTTTTCTTCCAGTGACCTTGAACTTCCCTAAGTGATCTTGGGTCAAGGTCATGACAAACCCTTAAGTCATGGGCAATCTTTGTGTGGAGTAGTAGATTCTAATGTTCCTCCGTAAGAAAGATATGGACCGGACATGTTTGCACAGACAGATGGACAAACAGACAACCGGACATGTTTGCACAGACAGATGGACAAACAGACAGACGGAGGAACGGATAGACGGACAGACAGACGGACAAGGTTATTCCTATATTGTTACGTTACCTATTTTCGATAGTATCCTAATTTCGTTAGGCTAATGTTTTTAACAATAAATCAGAAACCCTTTCGTAATTTTTCTGAAGTCTTATCCCAAAATTATCATCAGATGCATGAAGTGTATTAAAGCCAAAAAGATAGAAAATTATGCCGTTTAGTGAGGTAAGATTCTTTTTTCTCTTTATCTATTCAAATCACACCCTTTTCTCATAATGCAAAAAAATTCACTCTAAAACCCTATCTCCTAAGCCTGAAAACAACATTTGATGATTTAATGTTATTGTCTGTTAAAAAGCTCTGTGTTATGGCCTAAAAATAGATGAACCTCAATTTGGGCTAACTTCCGCTTAAAAAATAAAGTGTGGAAGCCTGTTACGTGTATTCTATTTTTAAATTTTGATATATTTCAATGTTTTAAGTTTTGTTCCTGTTGCTTTATTGTTCGTTTCTTTGTAGATATTTTCCATCAAAGGGGGAAATTACAAGAACTATTATAGGCCAAAGGCTGTGGATAATGCTTTCCAAGCAGACAATGGCTCTTGGCTTGAAATTTCAATTTTATAAAATTTCAACCAAAAAATAAATGTTATAATTAATCATATTTTATTTGTGGTTAAGATTATAGTTGAAAACAGGACAACAAAAATCCAATACCATAAAAAGGGACAAAAAACAAATAAAAGAATACAAAAACCCACACAAAATAACATAATTCGATGTTTTTATGACAATAACTGTGCGCCATACTTGTTATCGAAAATAGGTGACGTCATTCAAAACAACTCGGATTATGGTGGATCCAACTGAAATTCTTGATTTAAAAAAACAAATAAATGTCTGAATATATTTATTTATTGTTGACTAATAATACATAAATAATTGAGGTGAGAAAAACATAGATGCCTAGATTAATTTTTTGACTCAAGTTTTAAACTATCGAAAACCGGTAACGCCAGGATATACCCCTAAACTTTGTTTGCGGGGGGTATAACTATCAAATAATAAGCATCTACCCTTGTCCCTAACCGACAGATTGTGAAACAATCCTTATTAGCGAGCGCAGCGAGCGTCGCGAAGCGACGCTCGTCACTGCGAGCTCTTAAAGCAACGCCTGTGCGAAGAGAAAATTCGGACTACTGCACATTCATTCGATAGAATTTTTTGACGCCGTAATTTGGACCCACAATGCATCACTTGTTAAAGCTACGTTCTCACGAGAATAGCAGCAAAAGTTCAACTAAAAGTAAACATGCCCTGATTTAATGGATACATATTGAAGACAAATAGTAAAAGAAACGTTCTTCATTTACTTTCAGCACTGTTCAGGCTTCTTTTTTGAAATGTAAATTACATACGGCGTCATGTGACATCAGAGCTTCTGACGCACCAAATATCACGTGCAGTTTGACGAGCCCGATCTAAATTATAACAAAATAAAATATAGATCTGCGCTCGCCATAACGGTCGCACCGTCAACATATTATCATTAATTTTTCTGTATATTTGGCATCATCTGATCATTTATACCTATATTCACAGCTTTCAAATAAAACCCAAAGGACACTGACTAACTGACTGTAGTTCATTTACTAAAATAGAACTTCTGTTTAAAGAAAACTGAACTTTACCATGATCTTGGTTGAATCGAAGGGAAATAACCCCCCGTGACATTCCTTGATTTCTCCTGAAATAAAAGATAAGTAGCATAAATGCTAAAAACAACATTTTTTGGAATTTTTTAAAAAAAGAAATATTTCATCAGCTCAACTTGATGGTATTGAGAATCATTAGTTTCTCAATAAGATATTTACCTTGATACTAATGACAATTTCGCTTTCAGATATCATCAGATGACAGATAGGATGAAATAAAATATTGACTAATTTTTTAGTCTTTGTGCCAGTTTGGGTACATTTTCTGTTGACAATAAAGTGAAAGTTGTTGTCTGTATAGTTCTTTACATTTTGCTTTCAAAACATTCATGATTTCAAGCGCTTACGTGACTTCGTAAATTACGCAACAATCTGTAAAAATTATGCTCAAAACGAAACATGAAACTAGATTTATTACGATAAAGAAGTGTGAGATATCTTTATATAAACATTGAAATATGTATGTTAAAATAATATTTTAGTGTATTAAATTTAAAAATTGAAATGAATTTTGTAATGGATATTTTCCTCACTTTTTCTTTTTCTATAATTTTCCTTTCAAGATTTAAAATGGCGACTTCGAAAGGTGCAAACACGTACAATCGACAAAATTGGGAAGATGCGGTAATATTTGCCTTTATCAATCATTTATTTTCTTTGATCCTTTTTCTTTTTTGTGTAAACTATATATTTACTTCTAAATTAAAGTGTAAGAGGAAGGAACAATGATTTTGGGATACCTCTAGATGTAAGGAAAAATCACTTAGGCCCTAGTTCACTGTAGCTACGTAGCTTGAAAATTGAAATACCTACTTATTTTTATTTACCTATCTGAAGAAACTTTATTTAGAACTAGCTACTATTCAGCTACTAAAACCAATCTTTTTCTAAATAAGCATTTTTCTCAGGATGAGCAGAAAATCTCACTTCGATACAGTGATAATTTTCAACTGTCAGATCTTATTTGAAAAAAAATCATGAAAAAATTCACTCTTGAAGATGTGTCCTTCTCTGTGTAATTGCAGAAAAAGTTTCAAAATTTTGAGGCTAAACAGTTACTTCTAGAATCAATGAAATAAGTCAAGGTCAAAATTATATTGCATCTGTAAGGAAAACAGGATTCATCATGTTCATATTTCAGAATACTGGCTTATAAAACAATAATGATGAGAATTCATGAATATGCCAAATTTATGCAGTGATATGCTAAATTTTGACATCATTTTTAACGTAAGTAATATATCAAGAGATTGTGATATCAGTGTGTACTGCTAATTCATGAATATGCCAACAACTCCATATGCAGTGATATGCCCTAAATTTTGAACATGCCAATATTTATGCACACGTATAGTATATAGCTTAATCAAGAGATTGTGTAATATCTACTGAATATGATATCTTGTTAGATTAAAAGATGGCACATATAACTCTGTTAAAAATAAATGTATGTGTTTTGTAGGAATTTCCCATTTTATGTCAGACTTGCCTGGGAGATAATCCTTACATCAGGATGGTAAGTACCAGAAGATTCCATGTACCTTCAATTTGTATCCTTTATCATCTTCATGCTGTACATTGTGTCTGATCAGAATACTGTAAATTATGTATTATTCCTGAGAACTTTATTTTCATCATTAACATGAGACTATCTACTGACGAAAATTTAATTCTTGCATGTTATTGTGTATTCAAAGATTATAAAGCATAAATGTTTAATTCACAAAAATTAAGTCCAAATGACAATTTCATGAAAATAAGGTCTTTTGAATATTTGGTGATATACAGTACTGAAAGTACTCTTCAATGTTGAATTATAAGTACATGTAGAATCATTTGGTAATTGTAGTGTCAAGACAAAATAAAAATACAAACTTTCACCGTTTGTTTTTTTTAAAACTCATCAATCATTGTTTATGACACCTATGGCCTATGAACATAAACATGTTGTTGGGTTAGTGATAAACAGTTATAAACACAAATCATTATGTTTTTGGTTCACATCAATTTTCATTTCTTCTTTTACAGATGAAAGAGAAATATGGAAAAGAATGTAAAATCTGTGCCCGTCCTTTCACGGTATTTAGGTGGTGTCCTGGGGCACGTATGAGGTTTAAGAAGACAGAGGTGTGTCAGACCTGCTCTAAACTTAAGAATGTGTGTCAGACTTGTTTACTAGATCTAGAATATGGTGAGTGAACTTGTAAAAAGAAAAAAGAAATTTGTTTTCATAAGGTTGAATAAACCAGGTTAAAGTAATAGAATATTTGGTTATGTTCATAGCCTTTTCTCTTTTGGAAAGTAAATTAAGTAATAGAACATGTTCATAATTGAAAGTTTTCTTGCTTATACTGTCACATAGTCAAAACAAATCAAGTGCTTACAAATAGAAAAAGAACATTAGTACAACATGATTTTAATATTTTGAATGTAGTATATCCTCCTTTTTATTCACAACAATTGACTGTGATTTCCAGGGTTGCCCGTTCAAGTGCGAGATGCTGCTCTCAAAGTACAAGACAGTATGCCAAAGTCTGACGTCAACAAAGAATATTACACACAGAATATGGAGAGAGAAGTATGTAACAAAGTTCTGATCCTGATTACTATAGCAGGTCATCTCGTTCATAAAATACAAAACAATTACCTGTAAAGTGTATGTTGAATGTGGAGTCATTAACAATTTTTTTGTGCATGTATAGTAAAAGTTTATTACATTTATATTTCAATAACCACATTGTACTATCTCAAATTATCATATCTGTTAAAAGAAACACTCTATTGTTCACCTTTTTGTGGTGAATTCTCCCAAGTATGCACAGTAACAATTAACTGATGACCTCCCTGAAAACATTTTTTAGATTGCAAACAATGATGGGACAGCACCTGGTGGGGCATTAGGCAAGGCCATGGCTCCTAGTGATATGTTACTAAAATTAGCCAGGACCACCCCCTACTACAAGAGGAACCGCCCTCACATCTGTTCCTTCTGGGTCAAGGGAGAATGTAAGAGGGGAGAGGAATGTCCATACAGGTGAGGATCAGTCTTAAAAGCTGTATTGAATATTGTTTAAAGATTTTAAGTTTGGATAAAGATTGGATACTTTGTTTTCGGATTGAGTTTGCATAAAAAATGTGTTTATAGATATGTTTCAATATTTTACCCATCTATTTTAAGTTCACACTCTTAAGTCATAGAAATGTTTTTCATTAAATACAAAAGATGAAATTTCTTTCTTCTGATATGTTTGTTTTCAGTTTCACATATATAAGAGTAAGAAACTTGTAAGAATTTTTTTTTAATGATTTTTTTTTTTTTGCAGACATGAAAAGCCAACAGACCCTGATGATCCACTAGCAGATCAGAACATCAAGGACAGATTCTACGGCAGTAACGATCCAGTGGCTGACAAACTGTTACAGCGGTACACAGACATGCCTAAACTGACTCTGCCAGAGGATAAAACTATCACAACTCTATATATTGGAAATTTAGGGGAGAATATTGGGGAAAAGGAACTAAGGTGGGTCATTTTCGAAGTTTAAGAAAATAAAATTTTCAAATTTTTCTTTTAATTGACATTTAAGAAAATTAAATTTCCATCTCTTTGAGAAAAGATTCTGAGTTATGTAAAATTGTTTTAGAAACTAAAGTTGATGTTCAGATGGAAAAGATGGTATTTTATTGTTCAATCAATATCCATTTAGGCAACTTACAATTTTTTTTAGCTCTGACAGAAAAAAGAAAGTGTAGTATTGATCATTTAGGTATTGTATAAAGAGATAAAAATGAACTTTCAAATAATTATTGTGTGAAATATTTCTTTGATGATTTCATTACAGGGATCACTTTTACCAGTTTGGGGAGATCCGTATGATCAATGTGGTTGCAAAACAACAGTGTGCATTCGTTCAGTTTACAACAAGAACAGCAGCAGAGGCAGCAGCTGAGAAGTCCTTCAACAAACTAATCGTCGGCGGGCGGCGCCTGACCATCAAGTGGGGCCGATCTCAGGGACAACACATGGCATTAAAGAAAGACGGAGAGGAGGAGGATAAAGATCTGGAGCCTGTGCCTGGTCTACCTGGAGGTAAAACTGTCATGCATGTTTAATTCAGATAAATCAAATTTTGTTTGCAGGTAAATTGTTTTAGAGACAACATTACAACATTCAATATTTGCATAAGTTATAAGTTTAAATTACCTGATATGTGTTGAATATTCTATAACTTTTTTGTAAATTATTCATATCTTGCGTTATCTGATCTCACAGCATTGCCAGCACCACCTGAGGAGATTGCCAACAATTTCTTTAATCTCAGTAATCCACCTCCACCTATGGGCATGCCACTCAGACCCCCACCTCTCGGTCTACCACCCAGGGGACCTCCAATGATGCCCTATGGAATGGTGAGAGGGCCCCCTCCTCCAGGTATGTAATAATTGATTAATCATTTTGTTTGGCTGCTAGATTTTTAGCTCACCTCAACGAAGTTGGGGGAGCTTATGTAATACCCTCGGCGTCGGTGTCGGCGTCGGTGTCGGCGTCGGCGTCCCGGGTTAAGGTTAAGTTTTTTGGAGCAGTTTTCTTTTTAAGTACTTCTATGTCCTATATTGATTAGACATGCATGGAAGATGGTTCTAGTGTGTTTCATTGTACCAGTCAAAGTTTCAGATGCTGCAATTTTAGCAAAGGAATGACCAGGTTAATGTTTTTGGAGCAGGTTAACATTTTTGGTGCAGTTTTTGGTGTAGGTTTCATTTCCAAGTAGCTATAAGCCCTATGTTAACCAAACTTGCATGGATGATACATCTAAGGATGCATACTACCCGGCTTGCTTCGGATGCTGAATCTGACCTACTTTTTCAGGTTGAGTGAACAGGTTAAAGTTTTTTGGTGCAGGTTTCATTTCCAAGTATCTGTAAGTCCTATGTTGACCAAACTTGCATGGATGATACATCTAAGGATGGATACAACCAGGCTTGCTTCGGATGCTGAATCTGACCTACATTTTCCGGTTGAGTGAACAGGTTAAAGTTTTTGGTGCAGGTTTCATTTCCAAGTATCTGTAAGTCCTGTGTTGACCAAACTTGCATGGATGATACATCTAAGGATGGATACTACCAGGCTTGCTTCGGATGCTGAATCTGACCTACATTTTCCGGTTGAGTGAACAGGTTAAAGTTTTTGGTGCAGGTTTCATTTCCAAGTAACTATAAGCCCTATGTTGACCAAACTTGCATGGATGATACATCTAAGGATGCATACTACCATGCTTGCTTCGGATGCTGAAT